GAGGGGGGGGGGGGGGGGGGGTGGGGTGTCTTTTATACAAAAATGTTGTTTTTTCAATCTATTGTAATTGAAAGTGTCTTTTGGTAATTTACTACCAATAGCTTCGAGGGGGTTATTTGTAGTTTTTCACCTGCATTAGCCACCTGGAAGCTACTGGTAGTAGAATACCAATTATTATATCCCTAGAAGCGATTGGTCGTACTACTAATAATAATTTAATAGTAAATAGCAGTATCAGTAGTACAAATCAAGAGACGTCAACAAATTTTTCAGTGTCAGTCTTTCTCATTTTCTGGATTTGACCTCTGATTTAGAAAGAAGATTAAAATTATGTGATCCACACCTTATAAAACTACCTTTGTAAACACCCACTCACTCTGATTTACATAACTAATCCTTAGTTTTATCATAAGTGAACTAGCTGGATATCGCAATAGTAAAAAAAATACTAAAAAATAAAGCCAAATGACAACTACGCCAAACAGACAGCGGAGAAGACCCCTGACAAAATTTTAACACGGTTCAGTATGACTTCGTTTGATTGCCGTGTAGGGCCTACTTCATAAATGTCTCATGGATACATTGCAATAAGTGCGTCTTCTGTCCTTTTTTTAAAAAGGGGGGGGGGTAATACTTATTTGCAAATGTACATGGGTTGTGTCCAAATGAAAATGTGTACGGGTGCAACAGGTGGGGGTATAGAAAATGTATCTTTATTTTTTTAATTTTTTTTTTTTTTGCATGCATTACCGTTCTGTATTAAATCTAAATTAAATCAAAAGAGGTGTTAATGGTTAATTCTTCTCTTAATATTTCATGTCAGGTTTTAAATAATAAGCACACAAAACTAATACAGTGTACTACCAGTTTCTTCTTTGCATTGATTTCATTGAAGTTTTCATCAGCGCTTTCCTGTGCCTATATTTTTTTTTTCTCACTTGAATATTTCCTATGCCATGCAATCTTTTACTTCGCTTCACTCGTGTGGTTTTTAATTTAATGGTGAAAAGCATAATAATCGATTCAAATCTCAAATATGAATACATAAAAGTTAATGGCGTTTTAAAAAAATATTTTATTATTATTAAAAATAAAAACCCATAAAAAGAGCACAAACTCACAAACCAATTAAAGGTCAGAAAAGCTCCCCCACAAAAAAAGAAATTATTTGTTAATTTTCTTTTGGCATATTTACCAAACAACAATTTTCATTGGTACATGGGATGTTTGGTTGTGGGAGTTTTGTATGTAATATATATACATGGGCGCCGCAGGGGGGGGGGGCAAGTCCCTGGATTGATTGGATAAAAAAAATTTAGACAAAAATAGACAAAAAATGTATTAAGTTAAAGAGAAAATAAAGAGAAATTAACTAAGCTGATGTCCTGTCCGTTCGTTCACCATATAAATACGCTACAGTGAATTAAAGCTACATTAAAACATTACTAAAAAAATTTTGCCTCCCCCTCCTCTAGAAAGTTAATCGATTTTTTGCCCCCTTCCCCCAGACAGTTTTCTGAGGGCGCCCATGTGTGTATATATATTAACAGATAATAAATGAAACCTGTGACATTCTTTTCAACTTTTCATTTTGTTTCAATAAATTACACATATAATAAAAGTGTTATATAAAAGTACTGTTTACGATAGACTCCAATTTATTTACTTATTTACTTTTAAGTGCAGCTTTTAAAAGGCATTTATTCCATTTGCAATCTAAAATATGGTAATTTATATAACAGAAAAAACATGAAACTTAAACCTAGACAGATACGAATTTCATATCATGTTGTTAAAAATATATTCATATATGTAATAAATTTATCGAACCTTTACTTCCTTGTTGAAAAGTTTTGGTATAAAATTAAGATATAGACTATACCCTAAAACAAGTGTTTGTTTTTTTTCAAAGTGAGCACTGACAGATAAGTCAATATTAATGACTAAGTAGTCTATGTTTAAACCAATGAAAATGTTGAAACAAAATTTATGCTAAATTATGTCAGAATTGAACTTAAACCTTTTTAAAATAAAAAAAATGAATATGTCTATTGATATTATAGAAGTCATGCAAAAAATTCAATCGTCACTTACCAGTAAATTGATGATGTTGAGATTCAAGTAAAATTCAGCGGGTTGTCATTTCGTTTGTCGGTCGCAGTATCAACAGCGTAAAAAATAAAAGGAGTGGGGGGGGGGGATTTTAGGGGGATACTTTTATGCGTATTATTTATTCATTGATGTTTTCGTGAAAAGGTGTGGCGAAGTTAGGACCGCTCAGGGTGTCACTGACGTAAGCTACTCCACTCACCAGGGTGTCACTGACGTAAGCTACTCCACTCACCAGGGTGTCACTGACGTAAGCTACTCCACTCACCAGGGTGTCACTGACGTAAGCTACGCCACTCACCAGGGTGTCACTGACGTAAGCTACTCCACTCACCAGGGTGTCACTGACGTAAGCTACGCCACTCACCAGGGTGTCACTGACGTAAGCTACTCCACTCACCAGGGTGTCACTGACGTAAGCTAC